GAGAGTGTGTGAGTGTGAGAGAGTGTGTGAGTGTGAGAGAGTGTGTGTGAGTGTGAGAGAGTGTGTGAGTGTGAGAGAGTGTGTGAGTGTGAGAGAGTGTGTGTGAGTGTGAGTGTGAGAGTCTGTGAGTGAGACAGTGTGAGCGAGTGAGAGTGAGAGAGAATGAGAGAGTGAGAGTGAGTGCGAGAGAGAGTGACAAATAGCCCCTTTCCTTTTCTTAACTAGGCACAGAATGTCTATGAATGAGGTACAAATCCCCACTCCCAGTAGATAACTGGCAAAATCCTACACAGTTTGCTGGATCACATCCAAGGGTGGAGATTCCTCCAACATTCACTGATTGTAAATCTTCCCGCTGCTAATTAAGTGGCACCTCCCACCCCACCTTCAAACAGGCCTCATGGTGGCATATGAGTGGAGAGAAATTTATTTTAAAAAGTGACAGGTATAGGTTTTAAGTTGGGAGAAAGAAATTGCAATTATATAGCAACTTGCACAAACTCGGCAGATTATAATTAGATGTATATTTCAATTCAGTATTTCTTAACTGTCCCTCTCAAAGTAAAGACAGGGTTGCAGTTTCGTGCCTCATCCAAGAGTTGATATCTCTCGCAACTTAGCTCTTTCTCAGTACTGCATTGGGTGTGTCAGCCTGCATTATATTCTGACTGAGAGGCAAGTGCTACCACAGTGTGACAGTTATCACAGATTATTGTTGATGTATCATTACTCTTCAAAAAGGACAGAAAAACAAAGTAATGTCATGGTTATCACATTATATTGTTTGCAAGTTCCTATTTAATTAATATTGTATCCAAACATTTTGGCTGAATCAGAAACATTACTGCTGTCTCCACAACAAATCCGTACACAAATAAATTTACATTAATATGGGAGATGGGATGGATTGTAATAATAAGCTTTAACCATTTGTAAACTTACCATCCAAAACAGAAGATAGCAAAATATATGCCAATCATAGTGATGACCACATGACGTATGACAACACCAGCTCGACTGGGACTGAGATAAAGACGGAACCAGAAGGCTGCAAAAAGGGCAAACAACTGACATACTGCAAAATTCACCTGCAAAACAAAACAAAAAGCAGCCTGAGCCAAGAGTAGCTAGATCTTCATTCAAGACACATATACTGGTGCAACCCTGTCTGCTCAGTAACTCAGCTTTTAAAGAGACATTGCTGGAAGTCTATGTTTGAAGTGAATGGTGTAATCTCAGCAGTTTCCTTTTCCTGATCAAATAATCTCAGTTAATAATTCACTGTGCAGTGCTTGCTTTCCTGATGTAATTTGTTTTTCTAGGTAAACGGGGTACCAGAGCTTACTGTTCAGCTAGTCTCTCAGCTCAGATCAATTTGATACCAGGCAGAAATATAAGCAGTACAACTCCATAAAATATAGAAGCAATGAAATGCTCGTGTATAAACAGATGTACAATTATATATTGCACATCATAACAATTAGTTCAGACATTGATTAAGGTTCATGAAACATTTTGGCATCATTTTAATAGATATTCTGCAATTACAAAACATTCATTTATGGTTGGTTTCCAATGTGGTTTACATTGGATTACTTAGCAAAACTATTCTGATTGTGTCTAAATTTAAGAAGTTGCATTTTTTAAGAAATTACTATTTATTGGGTTTTTGAAGGGGAGAAAATATCCTATTACACTTTTAAGTAAACCATCTTACCAAAGGTGGGTATTCAAAGGATTAGGATTATGCAACATATTTCTTCCAACTTGTTGATTTTGGCATGTACAATACTGTTGACACTTGGCATGAACAAAAATCATGAATCTCACTCTGATAAAGGAAAAGAACTTTTCACAAACACTTATTTCCCATTAGCACATCAATAAATCTATTTTTTTTTTACTCATGTGCCTTCCCAAATGTTGCTCGCAAAGAAAAATTTGTAAATTTTATCTTCCATTCTCAACTTTGTTTTCTACACTCCCTCCTGGCTGTTCTCTCTAGATCTCATTCTAAAACTTCTCACTTTACCTTCTGTCTCTCCCTATGTTCAAGTCTCTTTGGCTGCTGTTTTCTACAGGACTGTTGCTGAGTTGGACCAGCCAGATGTTTAAATACTTTTAAAATTCCTCCTTGGGTAGGCGTTTTTCATCCACAAGCTAAGTATTGGCCATCTCAAACTGCCTTTGTGAAGGTGTTAGTGAGGTTTTTATTTTAACTGCCACATTCTCTGTGATGTGCTAAATAATCGGTTCCAGGATTTTGACCCGGTGATGATAAATGGAAAGACAATCTGTGTCCAAGTCTGAGCTAGAGATTATGGAACTGGGAGTGCTGCTGAAGAAATCTCAGTGTTGATACAGTCGGGCCTCCAGTAGCACACAACACTATACAGAAATACACTACAATAGTGTCTCCAGTTGTACACACAGCACCGCCATTTTAAAGAAGGTATATTCACAGATGGCAGAATCAAATAACCTTTATTGTCATATGCGCTCAAATGAGTGCAGCGAAAAGTTTGTAACGTTAGCTTTCAGCACGATCTTAGGTGCAGAAGACCTAGGTACACAAACTTTTAAGTGTAATTACAGAGTTTAAAAAAAAAGTGTTGTTACATATTAAAAATATATGCAGATCAGCATGGGAACAGTTGAAGTCCAGAATGAAAGTAAGTGACAGTACTTAAATGCCAGTCCATGCCCGCCAGCCCCAGAGCACGAAGCCATGCCGCCTCCATGTGCCAGCCTCCGTCCAGGACTCGGCCCATTCACTACGCTCCACCGTGGGACTTAGCCCGTTCGCTCTGCTCCACTCCTCAACTCCAGTCTCCAGGTAGGGCAGAAGGATGGGGGGTTAGGGGATGGAAAGAATAGCTACAAAGAGGAGGAAAAAAGAAAGAAGAAAAGAGAAAGGGACTGGCGAGCAGAAGAGGTCTGACTGGAGCGTCCTGCTCTGCCGCCATCTTGCAATCTGCTGGCTATGCCACATTGTGTGAGAGAAACCTCCAATACATCAGCTGATACTTAAAATAGCATTTTAAAAATGAAATTGCTTGGTTATAAATTTTATTTAAGCAAACATTATCATGATGGTTGAACAACAAAGATCTTTTTGGTAAACTAATATTTGAAATCACAGTACAAACAGAATTGTTAAAAATAATTGATGATGCTTTGAAAATGGAAAAATATTCTGTTTCCCACATAAATGAGTGATGTGGTGTTTGAATTTCAGTGTGGCTTTAATGATTTGTATACGTTGCATGCCAATGATTACCGGATCATTATAAAACAGCATATTCCTTCAACTGTTTGCAATAAGCAGAGTACCAGCACCAAAATTAATCTTCTTGACAGCTTCCTTTTCAATTTTGGACGCTAGATTTTGATTTTTGGGGGCTATGCTTTCTTTCTCATTAATTCATTTATTATGGAGATGCTGTGACGTAATTTCTAAAAGTTCTGAATTTGTGATGATGTAGGGGACATTTGCAAATGTACAAAAGCAGAATTAGAATAATTACGAACTCTCCACTGAACCCAAATCCACAATACATAAAGAAAGCTTTAAATTTTCTGAAGAACACGGTATAATAAGCACAATCTGACAAAGGGTTTTCTTCAAAGTATCCAACGTGCATTACACAAGATATCATCAACCTAAAGAGACTTTTCACGGGGTGGTTAGGTAACAATTAATGAGCTTCTGTTCCACAAGAAGCTAGAATATTTTAACCACACAGTTCACAGCTTTATTTACTGCATCTCAGATCTCAATCTCAAATTTAAATCTCAACAATTTCTGTGCTCATTACAGTAGGATCCACCACCATTTTTCCCCAAGTACAGTAGCTCTTGTATGAATGCAGCCCTAAACTAGACATTCCACATCCATTTGCAGCTGATGTATTATGTTGGCAACTTTTCCCTCAACTCTCAGTTAGCTGAGTATTCCTCGACTGACAAGTTCAAAATGGTTCTCTCTTTTGCTGTCCCCTTCTCCCCCCCTCCCCGCAGCTCTCTTGCTGCCTTTTTCTACTTCCTTACAGCTCTTGCAGCTTGCTTCTCTCCCACATCTTTCTTGGAGTCCATTTTTTTACCCCACCCCTCTCTTGCAGCCTCCCTCTGCCCCTTCATCTAGCTGAAGCCTCCTTCTCCCTCCCCAAACTCTCTGCCACATTCTCCTTCTCCTGTCACCTTTGCTGTCACCTGGCTAATGTCCCCAACCAGGCCCCAGGAGACCAAGCTCCCAGATCCAACAAAAGCCCTCATCCCGCCCACGTCCCCAACAAAAGGCACTATATCACCAGCCAATTTCGTTTCTGGATAGCTCCCCAGTTCCAGGTTCTCGATAGCTGTTCCTGAACCTCACCCCACCTAGCAGCGATCCTCCCCATTCTTTGGCTGCACAATGGCTCTTTCAATGCTGATACTGGCTTTCCCAACTACACACTGCTCCACCAAACACAGGCTGTTTCTTTCCCAGGTTTGCTAAAGTTCACTAGTGTCTCTTTTCTCATTGGTCCCCTCTGTATGAATGAATTTTTCCCAGGCAATTTTGAGGCTAACTCATCTATTTTGAAGGCTGAGAAGTATTACCATACTAAACCAAGCCATGCTTACAATACACATAACACCATGTCCAATCTTAGATGTGACACCAGAACTGGATGGCACTTATTGAACAATCCTAAATGAGCTAAAACTTAAACTAACAACTAATTGCAAACAAGACGAATTCTTTCAAGTATTGCACTTTTTATAACTTAACAAAGCTTTGGGGGAACAGTTCCCTGGTATATTCCCTATAGTAAAATCTTGACAAAAGTCAACTTACCTTCCTTGAATTAAAAATAAAGCTTCAGAAATAACCGTTCCCTCCCAGATTCTCTAGAACAACATCATGACCAATGAGCACCATTTCTCATGAAGCATAAATTGTGTTTCCCTTTGATGGCATTCATCCAATTCTGAGAGTGCAGGATGAAAAGTTTTGAGAATTTCTCTTTTTTCTTTAAGCAACATTCAACATGTATTAAATATTGGTACTCAATGGTCATTTCTCAATCACTCAATACCAAGCACCAACGACAAAGAGACTTCTGATATTTAACTGTATTCCAATTTTGCAATTTCCTTGCTCAAATGAGTCGCACAGCATTAGTCTGGAATCAAAGTATCATGAGTGATTAACAAACAGCAAGAAGCAAAGACAATTGGTTCTAGTCCCAAAGAATCATAGGACTGCTCTCTCATTGAGGTGACTGATGGTCAGATTTACCTGAAGGTCACCACGCCTCAGATGAAGGACGAGGTTGAGAAGGTAGGACCTTCATGGTGACCTCAGCCAATATGGGAATTGAAGCCACGCTATTGGCATCATTCTGCATTGCAAATTAGCCATCCAGCCAACTGAGCCAACCAACCCCATCAAACAGTAATAGTCAGCACAGAGCAAGTGTAGTACAATCCTTCGATTTCCTCTAATCATGTGCTGTCAGCTCATAATCTGTTTAAAAGGTTTCTCTGCTTACAATTTTCAAGTTGAAAGTGCTTCTCTAAGTACTTACTAACAAACTGAACTTGACACACCAGATTTGATGAGTCATTGTACAGAGGAAAATAAAACAGCACACATTAAAAGCACCATTTAGAAGCCTCTATAACCTGCTCTTGACGGAACTAATGGAGTTTGACCAATCCGTGAAATCCTGAATGCAAAATATAATAGGGAGCCTAACACAAACTGAGCAGCACACTTGGCAATTGAAATTTGAGTGCTTTATCAAATAATCACATCAAGTGACAATTATTTTATTATTATCCTGTTCACATTCATTATTAGCTAAATAAACTGATCTTTCTAGTCATACCACAAAAATAGATAGAACCCCAGCAGTAAATTCTAAATCTAGCTAGCTGGTTTTAAAATACTAATCACACTTGTTAGATGACTTCCAAACTTATTCGTACTTCAAGGTTACAAGTCAAATAACATTGTGAACTTATGTAGCAATTTTGAAGAGAGCAATACAGAGACTAAGATCTACAGTATTAACCAAAATTTACCAATGATAATGAGGGA